CCAGGAATTAAATGAGTTACAGTCTCATCTTACACACTGTGCACTTAGTTTCTAGCTGCATTTGCAGGATCTTCGCTTTGCCTGAGTTCGGGCTCAGTGGGAGTTCTGGGTCGGCTATTAACAAGGCTTCCTTTTTGCCAATGAGTCCACTTCTTAAGAGACCGTTGAGACTGTGGTGCGTGCCTATAGCCTCACTTGGTTGGCGAAGATACAGTCTATGAACCTCTTTATTCTTCCAACCATTGCATGCGTCGTTCTTTGCATTTTGCTGATGATCTGGTGATTTTCTAGCTGTTTCCAGTTCTAGTTTCCAGAGACCGTGAACGCCTTAGCATTCACTTTCGTTGTCAAGTATCGCCTGAAGGGTAACCTTTCCAGTCCCGGCATATCTCTGATACTACAAAGCTTTATTTCTCCCTCTTCGCGAGGGACGTATAGTGTGTACGTGTCTGCCTTTCGATGTGCCTTCCCATACAGTATCGTCTATATCTTTCTTTTCCAGTTCTAGCCTTTCAGCTTATGTTCACATGACGAAGCCTCTTGTATAAGCAAGCACCGGAACAACATACTGGTCAATGACACGTGCGAATATGCCACTATCCGTAGGCATATTAATGCAGAAAAATAGAACCAGAAGTCCGAACAAGTTCTTGTTCAGCCCTGCTTAGTGATGCATGGCTCAAATGCCATGGTGGCCTCCTTAAGTGTTCCCTTGGCCACTAGAAGCAAAGGGGACGATGCTTACGCCGCTTCAGTCCGGTATCAAAAACTGAAAAGGATGTGATAGCACGGACAACGGCCACCAGGATGTCGAATGCTTTGATAGCTTCGTTCAGGAAAGGCAATTTTCCATTGCCGATCTGTCAATCGGCTGCTCAACGAAGGTAGCAGACTTGAATACGGTAAGAGAGTGGCAAGTGAAAGACGAAAAAGAAATCAGATATTCGCCGTGTAGGCAGAGATGTCCTTGACAATTCGGCGGTGCACTTCCTCGAAGGATTAACTGGAAAGCTGATATCGCAGCGGGTTTTACGATCATTGGCGTTGTTGGTACGCAGGAAGACATTAGTAGATCGGAAACTTGTTGCTGAAGTGTCAACAACAGTTACTTAGCGCTACACGCGTCTACTTTAGCCGTGGTACCGACGCCATGAACCGCACTTAAATTGACGTCCATGGAAAGCAGTGCAAATAAACTATGGTTTCATGTGACTGCGCAGACCACCTGTTGAACGTCGTCACTACAGGATGGATACGGAAAGTGACGACAAAGCTGACGAGCTGACGTGTGGAGCCAGATCCGCTTTGGGAAACAACCCAACGGCCTTGTAGTAGAGTGGGCCGTAGATTCGTTCGTTTCTCTGGCTGTTCAGGCGGTACGAGCTTTCGGTGTCCGATCGGCAGACTCGACTCGTTCATCTTTAAGCGGCAATATCCGGGGAAGATATCCAGTCTAATAAGTGGTAGTGAATTCGTGAATGGGCTGTATGTGGCCTAATGAACCGTGAGCCGTTGGAGCATTCTCAGACGCGCGGCTGTTCTACGAGCTGCGCTACAATGACATTTCGGCTATGCCTTCAGCATCCATCAGTGGAACAGAT